TGAAAAAGTGTTTGTTTCTTTGTTTTGTTATTTTGTTTAGGGACATTGCTTTGTTTTCTTTTTTTGTTTGTTTGTTTGCTTTTTCTGCTTATGATTTCTTTTCTTAATTTTCAGATGTTTAAAGGAAATTCCGACAGAAGAAGTGTTGTGAAAAATCCATTGGGTACTGACGCCAAAGCTAGATATGTTCGGTTTTATCCTGTCACATTTCGCCACTGGCCATGCATGAGTGTTGAAATATATGTGAGGAAATGATGAACCAAAAAAGTTTACTTATCTAACAGCTCAATACCAAGCAGGATTTAATCAGAATAACAAGAAAAAAAAAACAAAAAATGATAAAAATGATTTTAGAATTAATAGCGATAATGATAATGATAGTAATATTGCCAACGATAATGATTATGAGCCTAGGCTGTGATATACGAATAACGCTCTTATTCCGGGCTGATAGTCTATAAGATAGTCAAGAACACTTTCTGTATTCAGCACAATTACACAGTTAGAATCAGGGGGAGGCAGATAAGCTATTCCGGATTTGTTTAAAAACTTTTTGTCTGTGTAACGTCGATATTTATCTAGTATCACGTTCAGTTACCGTTGGTGGTTTTTGGTGTGTTTTCTTTGATGCATATGATTCATCTTTCTATCCAGACAAGTTGATGACTTGTGGAAAGAACTTCATCAGAGTTGGTGGAATCGAAACTCCTGAAGCATGAAAAAATAACCGAACCTGAATAACAGCAATAAGCAGAGAAACCGGCCAATCGCTATGGTTGTTTTCGTTCGTTTGTTGGCTTTGCCGTTGTATGTTTGTTTCTGTTTGTTCGACTGTTTTGAATTTCTTATGCAAGGAAAAAGAACATCTAACATTTCAAAGAGCTCATGCTTTTTTTTGTCCGAAATAACTGATGTTGACCATTCTTGCGTAAAAAGATTTAATGCAACGAACTAAAGCCAAGGACAGTATTTAAGCTGCACTCCCAGACACATTTTTGAGACACTTATGTCCCTCTCAATGTTGGTCTGTTAAATGGCATGGATACATAGACAGTTAACAACAATGGAAGGGGAAGAGGAGTCGAAAGAACAACTTAGGTATTGTTCTGGAAATGTTTCCCATTATGTTTGGGAGTCTTCTTTAGACAGTAATTTTCTTTCACATTTTTATTAAGTTCAATAAACAGTGATGATCATAAATCACGACGGAAAATCATTTCCAAGACGGAAAAACGAAAAAGAAAGCCGAATGACCTAAATAGAATAAATAGAAATCTGGTTTTGGTGGTTTGGCGTTATTATATCACACCGAAAGCCCTCAGAGGCGTTAATGAATTTCCTCTTTTGTGGTTATAAGAGCAGGTATCCATTGTAGTTTCAATGACGTCGAACTCTGTGTTCATGAATTCCTTTTTTGAAAGGATTCTGACCAAATTTTGTTTTAGATGACCTTCTGATCTGGATATATCAAATGAGACTTTGCTTTCCGAAGAACAAATACACTGTTTCTCCAGATTCTTTATTTGTATCTGAGCAGCCAAAGCATGATATTATTTTGCATGGATACATAGGATGCACAACAGAGGGGATAGTCTGTCATGATTGTGTGCATGCCAATATCTGAATCATCTTCGAGTTGCTCAAGCAAAGAATACTTCCTTAGCTTGATTTACTCTGTCAATAAAGCAATATTTTTCAGAGAAGACTCAGAAACGAAAAAGGAATCGAATCGAATCAGCTAAAAACGAAAGAATCGCCTCTCCACTTCCCGCCGAATGAAACTTTTTCCCAAGCATTTTGATAGAGGTTGTGTGACTATAACTCACTCCTTTTGAGCTAAAAGTAGTCAGTATCAAATTTAAAAGGATCAAGTTTCAGGAATATGCCGTGACAAACTGTCTCTGAGTGCGTTTGATCATTCAGCTTTCGTGATGTCTCTTAAAGACCGTCCTTACTCAGTGAGCCCCGGCACAGCTCTGTCTGTTTTCTGTTTGCTTCTTTACTCCGCTGGATTCATTCGAATCGAGACCAAGTTCAATGATTATGAACAAAGATTGAAGACTGTAGAGGAAGTCATAACTCAAAGTACAATGAAACAGTCGAGGACAGATTTGTCTTCGACTAAACAAGGTAAAGTCAACAGCTGTCTGGAATTGCATTCATGGTTGTATAGTTTGTTGTGATACGTACAATAATACATACTGCAAATTGCTTTAAACTGATACATGATTAAATTTTTCAGTCAAAAGCACTTAAGAACGAATCGTCATGTCCTCTGACTTCCTTTTGACCACGATAAATGTGGCGTAGACTTTGTCCCATAACAGAAGCTAGATATTTTCTTTTTTCTTGTGAAGATGAATGAGCTAACGATATGAATCATTCCTGCTGCAGCAAAGTAAATCTTTGTTTTCCCACGAGGAATATGTCGCCCAAGGATTATAACTCGGATGTTGACAAGGTTATCAGTACGCTATTATTAGCTGACCCTTATGAAGACTCGATCTGTTTCCTGTAACATTTTCAACGAGAACTTAAATTTTATCTCTTTTATATATAAAAGTTTCTAATATGATTTAGCTCCTAGATGAGGGCATTACTCGATTTTTTTATTATCATTATTATATTATTGAAGAGAGAAATAATAGATAAACAAGAGCTAGTTGACATTGGATTAAGGTAAAGTCCTCTGCTGTTGCTATCGGCAATCGAAAACTGTTGTTTGGTTTTGCCGCGAAGAAACTAACAATGTTTTTATTCATTGAATTTAATCTTGCAAAGAGCAGACCAGGCATATATATTTTCTATCACTATGTTCTCTCCCTTGAAAGTTTTCGAATCTGCCCATTCATATGAATGAAAGAAATGGAACAAAAATAAAACATGAATTTGAAATAATTGGTTTTCACATTATTTAGAATGGCAAGGATATTTCTTGTCTTGATATGTCTTTATTGATACATTTTCAGTTCTACCGACCACATCCAGCGAGCTTGAAATTCATCGACTGGGGCGAAGTGTTTTACTTTCGCCTCCTTTAAACAACTCTGCACGGATAAAAGAAATGATGGAAGACGTCATCGCCTCCACATGGAAGATCTGCCAAAACAAAGGCAATTTAAATTTTTGTCATCGTGGTCGGCCGGGTCCTCCAGGGAGAGTTGGACCCAAAGGTAACAAAGGAAAGAAAGGAAGGAAAGGCTCTCAGGGAATCATGGGACCACCGGGAAGAAGCGGAAAACAAGGAATCATGGGACCACCTGTAATTAGAGGAGAAAAAGGAATAAAAGGTGACATTGGGCCACCGGGTTTGCCGGGTATTCCAGGAGTAAATGGACAACCAGGAGAGCCCATTTCAACACCAAAAGTGACAATTTCTGCACCGCAACTAACTGTCAACGAAACAAACACAGCCTCGCTCCTGTGCTCCGCTTCTGAAAATCCTGCGGCTCAAATATCTTGGTCAAAGGTCAACGGTTCGTTACCAAACAACAGGACGAAAGTGCACTCAGACGGTCTGATGCAGGTTAACAATATTAGCCTGGACGATGCAGGCGAATACAAATGTGTGGCACAAAATATCCTGGGGAAGGATGAAAAAACTGCAAGTCTTGTGGTACAAAGTAGGTTGATATACACTTTTTTATATAACTCTCGAGCTAACCGTTTGAATAGGGGATACACAAGCAATTTCATTACTAATTACCAGTGTAAGTAACTAAGATTACTTTATTTCACTACAGGTAAGCCTAAAGTCTCTCTCTCGTTTGGCCCGACCTACGTTGAAAAGGGCAAGAACGTCACTCTGCCAAAATGTCACGTGAACAGTTTTCTCCCGGCAGCAGTCACCTGGTCTAGAGGGGTTGGCGAGTTGGCCCATTCCAGGACCTTAGTGAAAGATGGACAAGTTTCAAACATCAACGCTCAAAAGAGAGATTCTGGTTTGTTCAAATGCAGAGTGTCAAATAATTTGGGACACGACTCGGCTGTGACACATCTCATTGTTTTCGAGTTTCCACGTTTTACAATTAGTCCACCAGCACACCTTAAAGCTGATTAAAAAAGTAATATTTCAGTCCCTTGTCGAGCTCCTGGTGATCCCCAACCAAAAGTATCGTGGGTGAAAGAGAACAGTGAGCTGCCAGTAGGAAGATCACAAGTTAGGGCAGATGGAACACTTCAGATTTGGAATACTAAAGATGAAGACTCGGGCAGATATACCTGTACAGCCACCTCGGGAGGATTGTTTAAGACGTCTTCTTTGATGCAACTGATCGTGACAGTTGCGAAAGGTTAGGAGTGGCGTCATTTAATATTTTTTTCAAAATGAGTGATGTATAACTTTACGCATGACGTAAGAGAAATCCAAATAGTTGTGTGAAGCAGCGGATTTGATCGATTAAGTCATGTTAAGAATTTTCTAATCTGTGGTTGCTGTTCGACGGAAATGATTTATCAATTTTTCTTTCCATTCACATTGACTGTAGGACTTATGAAACTCACATCATTTATGTCAATTGTTACCATTGTGTAGTTGCTCCCCACAATTCCAATGAATCCTGAAAGCTAAATATATGACGTCGCAGTTTTTCGTCGTTCGCTGTTCAGTTACAGTCTTGCTTGTCTTTCTTTGAGGAGAAGAGAGGAGTATCCGACATCGTCATTGTATAAATTTTTAACTTTTGTGCCGTTACGTTCGTCCTTGGCACTGGATTGAGCGCCTTTCCATTTAAAGTATAAGCATTTCTTTAACCCAGAAAGAAAAGAGGACGATAAAAGTAAGTGCCAACGAGTGTAAAGAAAGAGAAATTAATCAGCCATCTGAATAGCATTGTAATGGCCATAATTTTGGCATCGGGCAGGAAGTAGAGACCAAAGGATCTGCAGTGGCAAGGGGTTCCTACACCCTTGAACGTCTCCTCTGTATCCGCTATGGTCTAAGATGGAACAAATGATTGACATAGCCACAATATATATGTTGTTTACGTTTATTCAGTATGTGAGCCTGTTGGTGTGGCAGACAGGAACGTGATACCGGACGCAAGAATGACAGCGAGTACCTCCACCAAAACTAAAAATGAATATCCATACTATGGCCGATTGCATGAAACTAGAGGACATGGTGTGTGGTGTCCTGCGACTACATCTGACAAAACAGACTTTCTTCAAGTTGATATGGGTACAGAGCACTCTGTTTGCGCCGTAGCGACACGAGGACATGAATGGGGTGCTCGAGTCACCAGTTACAAACTACGTCTTTCTGCAGACGGAGTAATCTGGATAACTTACAAGGAAATAAACATTGAAAAGGTACAGAAAGACTAGTAACTTTGTCGTTACATTTTTATCTCAAGATGATCCATAACCTAAGATAAGGAGCGATTATGATAAGGAGAGAGTTCGGGTTAAAAAAGAAATATTTTAAGCATCAAAATTCACGCTCTGTCTCTCTTTTTCTAGTGCTTTGCTCACGTAGGAACATTGAGATTGAAAAACCTATGTATCAAGCTTATGTAATCCTAAACCTATAATCCAAAATTATTAGTAAACCAATATTCCCTAAAATCTCTCTTATATCGTGTTGTGACCTGAGCAGCTCTAAAAAAGTGTTTCTTTCCCTCTTTGATTGTTTTTTTTAGTGACATTGGTTTCTTTTCTTCTTTCGCTTGCTTTTTCTGTTTATGACTTTTTTTTTTGCTTGATTTTCAGGTGTTTGTAGGAAATTCCGACGGAAGAAGTGTTGTGAAAAATTCAATGGGTACTGACGTCAAAGCCAGATATGTTCGGTTTTATCCTGTTACATTTAACCACTGGCCATGTACGAGTGTTGAAATATATGTGAGGAAATGATGGACCAAACAAGTTTACTTATCTAACAGCTCAATACATGGCAGAATACGATCAGAATAACAAGAAAACAATAGCAAAAAATGACCAAAATGATTTTAGAATTGACAGTGATAACGATGGTGATGATTATGATAATAATATTAATTGACGAAGATAACGATTATGAGTCTAGGCTGGGATACAAACAAAGCTCTGATTCCAGGCAGATAGTCAATAAACGAGCGAACAAACTTTCTGTATTTAACACAATTACACAGTTAAACAGAATCCATATTTATCTAGTATAATGTTCACTTACCATTGGTGGTTTCTGGCGTGGTCTCTAGATACATATGATTCATCTTTCCTTCCAGACAAGTCGATAGCTTGTGGAAAGAACTTTGTCAGAGAAAGTGGAATCGAAATTCCTGAAGCATGACAAAAATAACCAAACAAAGAATAACAATAACCAGAGAAACCGGCCAATCGCTTTAGTCGTTTTCGTACGCTTGTTAGTTTTGTTTGTGTGTTTGTTTGACTGTTTTAAAGTTCTATGCCAAGAAAAAGAACATCTAACAGGATTTCAAATAGATCATGCATTTTTTTCCCGAAATCACTGGTGCTGATTATTCTTGCGTAAAAAGATTTAATGCAACGAACTAAAGCCAAGGACAATACATAAGCTACACTCCTAGACACAATTTTGAGACACTAACTGCGCATGCCTCGTTCCTGAGCCCCTCTCAATGTTGATCTGCTAAATGGCATGGATACATAAACAGTTAACAAGGATGGAAGGAAAAGAGGAGGCGAAAGAACAACTTAGGTGTTGTGGAAAAGTTTCCCAACTAATTTACAGTGATTTTCATTCACACTTTTTAAAAGTTCAGTGCACGTACAGTGACGATCATAACTCACAGCGGAAAATCATTTCCAGGAAGAAAAACGAAAAATGATACCGAATGACCTATCTTACCAACCAGCTATATCATGATATTAAAAATTAGTTTGAAATCGTTAAAAAAAAATTGTAAAATTAACATATGCTACAACTCTGGGTCCTGCCTCGATTGGGATCGCCACCTTGTCGTGGTGGGGCGGCTTGCGTTCCCCAGTGACTCCTAGAGCTATGTTGGCTGGAGTCTTGAACTCCTGGCAGGCACAGCCATGCCAAACAGGTCGAAGGGTAGGGGCCAGACGAAGAGTGATCCCACTGGCCCTGCAGGTCGGGGGTTGGGCAGAGGGCTGATAACCTTCTCCCGTAAAAACAGAATTATTGCAGAAACCAGAAGCAGATTGAATTAACGATTTCAAAGGGAGTGGAAAAGCTCTGTGAAGGCTCTATGTGCCACGAGGCATGAAAAGGATTGATGACGACTCAGGGTCAATAATCACCCATTTGCCAACTTCAGAGCTTGTATTATTCCCTAAAGTGCAACAACATGCATTTAACTATCGTTAAGGTTGACTGTTTTGACTTAAATTTTTGCGCGATCAGGATAGTTCTTTTGAATTTTTGAGTGAAACAGGTTAACCTCTTACTCTGGCCCATCAAGAAAGAATATAATTTGGACATAAGAACATGAATATGAAGTGTAACATGCTTGGTCTGAGAGTTACATGGATACCAACATGCAAACCTAACAAAATTGCCTTGGTTATAATACACAAAAAACAGTCAAAAATGGACTGGTTAACTAAACTGATCGGGTTTTCTTTGGCCTCATTTATTTATTTGTTTAGATAGATTTCGAATTTTGTTCAGTCATTTTAGGGTCTCACCTCTGCATTTAAACATCTGCGTTATAGTCTCAAACCTACCATGTACCTTTAAGAATAGCGAAAATTGAAAGGAAAAGGAAGTAAAAAGAAAGAAAGAAAGTTGACTCGGCTAAGGCTCGAACCTTCTACGTACCGAGTCTAAAGGAGTAGATCTATTCATTACGCTAAGTCTCGCAGTGTTCAAAATGGATAAGTTTTGTATTCGATGATATTCGATGCATATTAAATACATATATCTATTCTACTAATTTCCTGTCCTGTCCACAGCCTTTTAATTGACCGGTGTGTCCATTTTTTTTTATTTTATACATCAGCGTCCGATTTTTGAAAAAGTCATGAAAATTTATTAAATATTTACAATTGGAAAAAACAACAAAATTTCGACGATATCCGTCACTCATTTGATAACGGAATTGATTTGAAAACATTAACGTTGAATAGATTTGACTTCCAATTTCCCTTATTTTCGCCCCCATTCCTTTTATCTATACATTCTCGCTTCATGTAGTGACCTTGGTAACCGTTTGTCCACTTATCGTCGAATGGCAGGGGGAAGGGGCTATGCGTCCTCCTCAAGAAGACTGGGGCTGGACAAGGAATATTAGATGAATTCTGAAAACTTTCAACGAGCGGTTTCAAAGGCTTTTTATAGCTCGCACGAAGCATGCGGAAGATCACGCTAGCTGCTCTTAAGGATACTTGACCAGAAGTGCCCACAAGAATCAAGCAGTTCGTCTCGAGTTGTCTTCATTTTAGGAAGAGAACATTTCTCCGTACGGAAAATGTCAGTTTGTAGTTGGAACACGACACCCGACCCGGAAGTATCAAAAATGTATCGAGTTCAATTCCGTTTCAGCTGAAAAAGGAAGCTGAGATCTGCTTACCGAAATGGGAAATATAAATTGTGTTTCCAAATGCTCCAGGCCAGTTGGAACACATTTTGGCGCTTTTGATAAGGTAGGTTTGGAGAAAAATTTATAGAAGTCTGCTCCGACGGCAATTTAGGATCATACTAGGCGATGATGATGGTTCCAGCGACCCTTTTCAGATCAGGTTTTCAGTTGTAGCAGCGTGACACCTTTTCAAGGTCAGTGCGCCGCGATCATGTAAAATTTAAGACCACCATTGTCTCGTCTTTACCCAACCATTTTAAACAAACTGGTTCAATTGTGAAGGCAGAAACTATAAAATTAATTTCCGCTGAGGCTCACTGATCAGTTTCACTACACTTGTTACGACAACAACGAAAGAAAGTAAAGATCAATTATAGGCGAAAAATGGCTTAAAATGTTCGATGCAGTAGTAAACACAAATAGAAATTTCCTCGTCAATGTCAGCCCCAGAAACCTAAATTAAATCTTCGTTCGATCACTCGACGAACTTAACTGAGATGAACGGAATCTTAAATTCTGGGAAGTAAGTTTTACTAGGAAAAGACCCTCTTCCGTATAGCCGGGAAAAACACACGAGTTACCTTTTTGCTGAAGCGGAAGTTAGAAGCTCATCGAATCATCCAAATCTGTCATTGGGTCACGCTCTGCACATATATTGACCCTCTTTTGTGATCATTGGAAACCGTTTTCTAATTTATGCATTCTCAACATTTCTTTGACTAGACCCATTTGCAGTTTGATTCCCAGACGTAAACTGTTATATACCTCAGCGAACACTGAAACCCTGTTGTTCCGTTTCTCAGTACTCGCACGCTAATAATAATAATAATAATAATAATAATAATAATAATAGGGATTGTAAGCGGTCAGGTCGGCAACGCCACGGAAGACGTCGGTTAAAAATGAGTTTCTACTTTTAGTTAGAATTTCCAAAATGGCTGCATGTGTTTACCGTCTCATAGGGCGCCAGACCTCAAACTCAGCATAACACATAAGAGTAGCGTTGAGTTCCAAATGTAGATTAAAATAACTTGCCGCCGCGGTTTCGCTTCGCAGACGACGCAAATTTTGGTGATTT